AGGCTTATAATAAGAAGGTGAACCCGCGAGAGTTCCAAGTTGGTGACCTCGTCCTGAGAAAGGTCGTCGGCAACAAGAAAGATCCCATAGAGGGCAAGCTTGGCCCGAATTAGAAAGGACGCTATAGAATCATCTCGGTCTTAGGCAATGTGGTATATCAGCTTGAAAATAACGAAGGCAAAGAGTTGCCAAGACCCTGAAATACTTGCAATTTGAAGTTTTTTTATCATTAGATTTTCTTGTTCTTTGTTATTAGCCAAAGTAATAATAAAGTTTTAGCTTGATTCTTTACAATTGTAAAGTATGACTGGTCAGTAACTTAACGATGTTTCTGATTGAAACATGACGAATAACTTAGACTTATTAGATGACAGAGTTCCTACTTGCATATAATAGAGTTGAGCTAAGTTGAATTAACCTGGATATGCCATGTTGGTAGAGACAAACACAGATTGGAATTAAGTACCTATTAGTCAGATTAACAAAGAGGCCAAGGTCGGTAACCTCGGCTAGTCTTTGTTTGAACCTGACCTCAGCAACAAAGCTACATACTTAATGAGAATACCAGTGGAACTTAAGTTCACATTAGGGGACAAAGGGTTGGAGAATGATGCTCGGGAGCTGGAATTTACAAGCTAAGATTAGTTTAACACTTGTTGAAATTTAAATTTACAAGTTGAAGTCAAACCGAGGTCGTGTTTAACACTTGTTGAAATTTAAATATACAAGTTGAAGTTAAATCGAGGACATGTTTAACACTTGTTGAAATCTAAATTTACAAGTTGAAGTTAAATCGAGGTCATGTTTAACACTTGTTGAAATTTAAATTTACAAGTTGAAGTTAAACCGAGAACGTGTTTAACATTTGTTGAAATTTAAATTTACAAGTTGAAGTTAAACTGAGGACATGTTTAACACTTGTTGAAATTTAAATTTACAAGTTGAAGTTAATCCAAGGTTATGTTTAACACTTGTTGAAATTTTATGAAAAATTTACAAGTTGAAGTGAATCCGAGGTTATGATTAAAGGAAGATTGGTTTTACCACTTGTTGAAATTTTTAAAATTTACAAGTTTAAGCCAAGGTTGTATTGAAAGAAGTACCTATGTACTTACCGAAATAAACCGTTAGTGGGTTTTAACCGAGGTATTCCTCCCCGAGGAGGCTGCACAGTTAAGGTGTATTTTGAAGACACCCAAATTATTGTAAGTATAAAATCATACAAGACAGTAAAAGGAAGACAAACATGCAAGCATTTAAAAGAGGAAGTTATATTTACATTCAAAGAAAGGGCACTTCGGCTTACGAAAGGATTACTTTTGTGAGTCACAAAAAGAAGGCGCATTGGCCAGATTAAAAGCTTACATTGTTTCAAAAGAAAGAAAAAGTTCAAGTAAAAGAAACTAGACTATTCGACGTCGTCAGCTGGTTGAGTTTGGGGCTCAGAGGACACTTGGGAACTTTTCTCGGTGGCCTTCTCAGCCGCGAGCTCGGCATCAATCTCCTTGAGAGTTTGGTCAAGGCTCTTGTCGGCGATAGGCGCGTCCGATGTTGTCTTCTCAAGAGTGGCATCTTTGGAGACCTCACCCTCCTCATCTTGAGACAAATCTACGACTTGCTCGTTTAGAGTTGGGGATTTGGCCCCAGTAGCCTCCTTCTTCTTCCTGTCCAAAGCTTCCTCCTCGGACTCAGAATCATCTTCAGATTGGCTTGGAGTAGGGGGGAATGACAAGGGGAGGTCGTCGGCATTCTTGAGGGGGGAGTCCTCAGGGACGTCTAACTTTTTTAAGGTGGCCATCCAACCAAGGGTAAAACCCTTGTTGCAGGCCTGCTTCACTTGTTTCTTATAGTCCTCCTTGACATCGGCCGCCCCCTCGGCGTACGCTCTTTCGTCAGCGGCCTTGATCTCAGCATCTTTTGTGGCCAAGGCATCCTAGAGTTCTTTTTGGACCTCGGCCATCTTTTCTTCGGCCTCTTTCTTTTTGGCCGTAAGGACCTTGGCAATGGCCTTGGCAACATCAGCCTTTTCCTCGGCCTCATCTTTTGCTTTTAGGGCTTCCTCGACCTGATCTGAAAAAGTCTTCATCTTGGCCTCAGCCTTCTTAATGGCCCTTTGCAAACTAGGAACCTCCCTCATCTTGTTAGCCAACTCCTTCATTATTTCAAAAGCTTGCATAGAAAAGGAGTGGGCGTGCTGGATCGCCTGAAAGAAAATGGATAGGACAAAAGTTAGTAGAAATTCTATAAGTATGGAAAAATAGAGAAGGAAAAATACCAAGTGTAAGGAACTTACTTGAACGGAATGCTGCAGCATCAAAGCGAAGTTTTCATACTCACTCATCTTGGCGTTACGATCGAGATCTTCAGGAAGGAGCAAGGCTATTGTAAGGGCAACGTCGACGTTAATGTCGACGGCGCTATCGCTTACTCTGACCGGCCTGTCCTCCATTGTGATTGGGGGAGCCCAGGGGGAGTCAAACTTCAAAGAGCTTGAAGCTGTCACCGACTCTGACCTCGACCTCTTAGACCAAGTTGATTGAGATGGTTCGGCCTCAGCAGGCCTCTTCTCGGGGACGGAGGTGGTCTTCCCGCTCTCGGCCAATTTCAAAATTGGCAAGGTGTCCTTAGTGTCAATCTGAGTCACCATTGCCTTAGGCTGGGCCTTCTTCATTCTTTTGGGTTTTGGCTTTGGTTAAGGCTGGGATTGTGCTGGTTGAGCTGTGACAGTGTTAGGGATATCGGCCAGAAGATCTTCTACAACTGCCTTCTTGCGGCCCATCTCAACGGGGATTACAGTTCGGCGTCTTCGTTGGCGTTGAGATTGAGGGATCAGATATGGAGCCGAAGTTGATGGTAGCTCAGCTGGATCAGAGGTTGATCCCTGATCTGGCCGAGATGATGAAGTTGTTGGAGGTGTAGTAGCGGACAGAGGAGATTTGCTTTTCTTTTTTTTTGGGACGTCGGGAAACACCGATTTGTAAGTCAGAATGAAGTTGAACAGCAAGGGGGCTCTCCGTCTTTGGACTGGCAAATCCAATAGCTTCTTCAAGTCTTTGCTGGGAAAGAAAGACTTGCAAAAACCCTTTGGTGGCTGGGGAAGAACTGTAGAAAGAAGAGCACAGACGTTACAACAAAGTATTGAAAACTTGGAAAAAAAAACAAGGAAATGTGACACTTGGCTCTTACCATCTCCTTCCCTGAAACCTGTTCGGCTTAGGGGATAAAGGTGGAGGTCATCGTTTGGCTGAAACTCCTAGTTGCTTGAGACGATGAAGTAATCGTCTCCAGCACCCTTGTTTGAGTCTGAGAGGTCGGCAATGAGCTTGTACTCAGTGGACCTCGGCTTGAGGTAATAGATGTGGCCTTTTTTCGATTTCAGGCGACACATGATGTAGCAGTGCTGGATATCGGCAAGGGTAACCCTAGCATTTTCTTTCTTAGCTAGGGTGATTATACCATTGATAACTCAATAGGAGTTGATGGTAAGCTGCATTGGGTTCAATTTGTAGTAGTGGAGGACTTCTCGAAAAAGGGTGTCAAGTGGAAACCTAAGTCCACACTCGATGAAAGCTATTACTGGGAAAGGCATGAGGTCCACGTCGGGCATAATGGAGTCCTCCTCCCCTGCCAACCTGAGGTGGACGTCGGCAGGGATGGAAAATTCCTGCCTAAAGTACTCTAACTTAGTTGGGGTGTTTACCCTATGCCTCCACATGCCCATGATGTCGGCTTAGGGGGATAGTATTGGATTTCGGAAGGAAGTGTTTTTTGGGTTTTGAAAGACCTCTGCTAAAACGTCAATGTGTGTTGGAGAAAGAATTTGTGTGGATCTAAGGGAAATTTGTCTCAGTTCTTCCTAAAATTTGTAAGTTCTACAAACAAAACCCAAACCTAAGCCTAGGCAAATAAAGATTGAAGGCAAGAATCTGGAAAAAACATAGAAAACAGAAATAGGAATGCGATTCAGCATCAAGAATAGTGGTGAATCATCAAGAACATAATGAAAAATTTGTGCAGGTGTGTGAGGCCAAGAACAGTGGCAAAAATCAACAGATATGTAAGCAATGTGAATATTCAAGAAAGGATTGGGCAAAAACAGAATCACGAAGCAAACATACTCAAACACACGGCGAAAATCGAGGTACAGATTAAACGATCAAAGGCATAAGCAAGTTCACAAAATACGATAGAGTTCGCAGAGAAATCAAGAACTGAATAAAATTATGTCACATCATCATATTAATTAATATATTAATTGATAAATATAACATTATTCAATTCTATTTGTATAGAAATAATTTAAAATGAATCATTAGACACGGGATGGATCACTAAACACTTATAATGGCGTGGGTCTTATAATGTGAGTCGCACAATGACCTCATTGTTTATGAGCATTCAGTGTTTCATTCTCTGTCAAGTTATACATCTTTTTCTTAACTTGTATTTTCAAGTCAATTAAATTTTTTTTTTATTTTTAAAATTGCGTCTCTTTTAATAAAATTGCGTATCTTTTAATAAAATAGTTTCAATCTTATCATGAAAATTTTGAGATGCCAATTATATAATTAACCATGTCTTAAACATTTGGACAATAAATTTAGAAAAAAAAAATTATTTGTCCCACATTTAACCATAAATTATTCCTCCAAAAAAAATATAAAAAAAAACCCTGATACACTGCTAACACTGCACCCCAAATAGGAAAATTTTGGTAACTCAAATTAAGCTGTCCCGAATGGCTCGAATCAGTGTTCGTCGGATGACTATTCGGATGACCAGCCAGTCGACCGACAAGATAAAACCATTCGAGCCAAGCTCAAATTCAAATTACACAGCAGGGCTCCCCCAAATATTAGCGGGTTTTATTTGTTGATAAACTGAGGGTGGCATGCCACCTCCGAAGCATAAAAATAAAATATTAAATTAAAAAAAAATGATTAGTCAATTAATTGCAAAGCATTTACCAACCTTTTAATGACAGAGGTGCCCAAGACCCAAGATTAATTGTCTCATTTTTTACCATACATATTGCAAAGAACATGTTATTTTCCATTATAATCTCATTACATAAATTTCATTCTTACTTTAAATGCAGGAAATAAAGTAGAACCAAACAAAGCCAACCCATAACACAATCACAAATTGAAGAAAACCCCGAAACAATACTCAATAGGCTAGCAGCCATTTTATGTAGACAAGCTATGGAGCACCACAGTCTCAACAGTGAGCCCTGGTCCGAACCCGAATAGCACTCCCCACTCGAGCCCTTCACCAGTGGTCTTGAGCCCATCCGCCGCGGACTTCTTCCTCATCTCATCCAATATAAACAACACGCACGCACTTGACATATTACCGTACTCACTTAGCACGTGCCTCGTGGCCCGTAGCTTCTCTTCCTTAAGGCCCAACTTTAATTCCACCTGATCCAAAATAGCAGGCCCACCAGGATGTGCAATCCAAAACAAAGAGTTCCAATCAGAGATGCCCAAGGGTTGGAATGCTTCCGCCAAACTCTTTTCAATGTTCTTGGAGATGAGCCCAGGAACATCCTTGAGGAGGTGAAATGTAAGGCCCACTTCACGGAGGTGTCCGTCAATGGCACCGTCACTATCGGGGAGAATGGTTTGGGCCGCTGAGACCAACTCGAACAACGGTTTCTCAACCTCTAGAATTGGGTCTGACCCAACTATAATAGCAGCCGCGCCATCGCCAAATAGGGCTTGACCCACAAGGCTGTCGAGATGGGTATCACTAGGCCCACGGAATGTGACCGCAGTTATCTCAGAGCACACGACTAAAACCCGGGCTCCTTTGTTGTTCTCGGCCAAGTCCTTGGCTAGGCGAAGTACTGTACCACCGGCAAAGCAACCTTGTTGGTACATCATGAGCCTCTTGACTGATGGGCGAAGACCGAGTAGCTTGGTGAGCTGGTAGTCGGCCCCGGGCATGTCAACACCACTGGTGGTGCAAAAGACCAAGTGGGTAATTTTGGACTTTGGTTGACCCCATTCTTTGATTGCCTTTGTTGCAGCCTCTTTTCCTAGCTTTGGTACTTCAACCACAACCATGTCCTGCCTAGCATCAAGTGAAGGTGCCATGTACTCACACACTTGAGGATTTTCCTTCAAAATTTCCTCAGTCAAGTACATGTAACGCTTCTTAATCATAGATTTGTCACCTGTAATATTCAAAATAAGAAAAGATTGGAAAATTAAGTTCAAATCAACCATTCAATTACAGAAAAAACATTTCTAAATTGTTCTCATGTACATAAGAAGTAAATTAATTAATCTCATGTGATATGTAGAACTTTTTTTTTTTTTCCATATCACACATAACAACTTTGCCAGTATTGATGATATGCACAACATGTCACATGCATGAATACACCAAAAAAAGAAAAAAGAAAACCAGTCACTGGAACTCTAATAACCTACATAAAAAAAAAAAGCTCTTATAAATCATATATGTATATATATCTTACACATGCGCTTGAACTTTTCCTTCAACTCGGCCTTATGCTCGCTGTTTGTGATCCGAAAGTAATAATCCGGGTACGTGCTCTGATCAACGCAGTTCGGTGGGGTTGCCGTTCCAATCGCCATAACCGTGGCAGGTCCTTCAGCTCGTTGTGCCCTCCGGATGTCCTCGACGGTGACCATTTTGGCCGGACAATTTTTGTAAGGTGGTATGGACCACTTGCTAGAGAGAACTGGTAGTAGTAGTAGTAGAAACGTGAGCTTGTAAAAATTATGGTATGGTGTGTTTATATATATATGTGTGATTTAATGCAATGGTAGTTGGGAGTCACGTGCTTGAACAACTCTATGTATGACCACGAGTTAGCCACAACAACCTGAGAGACTGGCTGGCACGTGCGAGGTTGTGAGTTTGGTGTCCATCAAAGCCTTCACATGATTTGGAATTCCTATACCTACTACTACTTCACCTATAGGAAAAATTGTGTGTGTCAATGTATGTTAGGTAAAATGGGTGGTCGAGATTGGTTTAAGACAAATACGAGGTGTATTATAACATGGTAGGACCTTTTTTTTGTTGGTTTTTTTTAGATCGGACGGTTGGGATTTGTTCATAAAGGGTGTGACCCATGATTTTTGCAGTGTTTGGAGGGTGACATATTACTTGTATGACCCAAATTGAGGGCTGTGTTTTTAGGGTATTCCCTATGAACAGCCATCTTTTGTGAACTCGTGTTAAGATTGGTTACTAATAGGGTTTCTATGGTTACTATAACTTTAATTATGATTTTCACTAACATAAAAATATAAATTTTACGTTAAGATTGGTTATTAATAGGGTTTCTATGGTTACTATAACTTTAATTATGGTTTTCATTAACATAAAAATATAGATTTTACATTAACATCATATAATTAGTATGATAGATGAGACGCTCCATTATTTAGATATGATGTCTTAATTTGAGTTTTACTGTGTGAGTGATTTTCCGACCACACTGTCCGCTTAGTAACCAGCTGGAGAGCACTGGCAGAATAGATGGCACCTGACGGACCTGCAACAGAAATATAAGAATCCCGCGGTGGTTTCGACCACCCGGGGGTACTCCGACGATCAAGTCAATATATCTCTCAAAGATAAATCAAGTATTAAACTCACAAGCTTGAGTATCAAAAGCATACCTTAGACCCATGGGGGTGCCTATCTTTTATAGCCAATACAATCCTAGCCCCAATAGGAGCCTGGCCCTAATGGACTTAGGATTACTGCTAATCTGGGACTCCCAGTGGGATTAGGATAAACTCTCTAAGAGTCTTATCTTTACCCAAACTGAAGTCTTCTCCCAATCTAGGACTCTTGTCCATATCCAAGTTGAGTTCCCTCTTCATTCTAGGACTCTTGTCCCTTATCTGCTTATCTCGGATTTCGATATCTTCGGAGGTAACCTCGGCCTAGCCGAGATGACCTCGGCACAACGACCAAGACACGTGGCACCTCGGCTGACACGTCGGCGTCATCTTGCCACGTATTGGTACTCAGAAAATATATCCCCACAATATACACAAGAAAAGAAGGAAAAAAAAAAACAAACAACAAACAAACATAAATATACAATTTGTAAGAGATGTTATAAGTTAAGGATCGTCTGTCCTAAACTCTCAATTCCCAATACATTTCAAATTGTACAATATGGTTGAAATTTGCAGTACAATTAGGCAATTAAGAGTGCATTTCACTTTGTTTCGTTTTGAGTTTTCAATCCTTATTTATTTTATTTTTTTTAGTGAATTTTTTTAATTTGTCGGTCAATTTTTATTTTTTTTAAATCTTTTAGATGCATCTAATCTAGATATATTCAAAAAGTAAAATATTTGTGAAATTTTTTTTAAAAAAATAATAAATATAACAAAATCAGAAAATGTATTTGTTTTTTTATATTTTTAGTATTTAGTGAATTTAAAAATATATATCATAAATTTTATACTTTTAAATTTATATTAAGTGGATCTAAAATTGAAGAATATTGATTAAAATATTTAAAAAATCAGTAAAAAAAAATATATGAACTCAAAACTCAAAATTATTTTTAAAAATTCTAAAACCAAATAGAAAGATTTGGAGTAGAATCAATGTGCTGTGAACTTTGTTTATATAACATATGAAAAAATAAATAAATAAATAGATAAATAATTGAACACTTCCACCCCACCCCCATGCATCGCCTCTCCCTCCCTCCCTCTCTCTATATTTGATGTATACTGAAAAAGAAAAATGAAAATTAAAAATAATGGCATGTTTGATCACCATTCCGTTTTTAATTTTCAGTTTATATTTATAAAAATTTTAAAAACTGTCATAAAAAATTATTTGATAATTTTTATTTTGTTTATAATGATTGTCTCAGTTTATAAATTTGAGAAAAAAAAAGTAAACTCAAAAAATGAGTTTGCGTTGGTTTTTAAACAGAAATTTAAAAATTTAACTAATAATTTTTTTTTCAAATAATTTATTCTCAATTTTTTTTTTCAAATAATTTTCTTTTTCAAAATTATTTTTTTCAATTATTTTTTTAATTAATTTTTTTTCAAATTTTTTTTCCAATTAAATTTTTTTTCAATTATTATTTTTAATTAATTTTTTTTCAATTATAATGTGTGTGATCCTATTGTTCTAAATAATAAAAAATAAATATAAATATTCCAGGCCTGAACAAACATATTTTTTAGTTTATATTTTTAAAAAATTTTAAATATTTTATTCAAACCAAATGCGTATGTAATTTATATTTTTTTAAAAATAAATAAAAATCAGTTTATAAAATTTTTGTAAACATAAACTAAAAACGTAAACGTTACCAAACGCTATCAAAGGAATTTCAGAATTTTTTTTAAAAAAAATAAAAAATAAAATGGATCGATTATAGTACTTTTTCTTTAACTCAAAGAAAATGGTACATATGATTCCCTAAACACTAAGGTAGCGTAAATTTTTAGAAATTTATTTTTATTTTTAGAAATTTATGTTGATGAGTGTTCACTTTACGTTGGTCCAATAGTACTTGTGTATCAGTTGGCCTAATAGCACATGGTTCACTTTACTTTATTTTTTATCAGCTATTGCATTTGTGTACTGAAAGTGTGATTCACAATCACGCTTTTAGAAGAAAAAAAAAAATTGGTAAAAATCATAGTTCAGAATAGCGATTTCAGAAAAAAAAAAATTTCGATAAAAGCGTGGTTCACTTATTTGATAATTTTTTTTTTGTTTATAATGATTGTCTCAGTTTATAAATTTGAGAAAAAAAAAAGTAAACTCAAAAAATGAGTTTGCGTTGGTTTTTAAACAGAAATTTAAAAATTTAACTAATAATTTTTTTTTCAAATAATTTATTCTCAATTTTTTTTTTCAAATAATTTTCTTTTTCAAAATTATTTTTTTCAATTATTTTTTTGATTAATTTTTTTTCAAATTTTTTTTCCAATTAAATTTTTTTTCAATTATTATTTTTAATTAATTTTTTTTCAATTATAATGTGTGTGATCCTATTGTTCTAAATAATAAAAAATAAATATAAATATTCCAGGCCTGAACAAACATATTTTTTAGTTTATATTTTAAAAAAATTTTAATATTTTATTCAAACCAAATGCGTATGTAATTTATATTTTTTTAAAAATAAATAAAAATCAGTTTATAAAATTTTTGTAAACATAAACTAAAAACGTAAACGTTACCAAACGCTATCAAAGGAATTTCAGAATTTTTTTTAAAAAAAATAAAAAATAAAATGGATCGATTATAGTACTTTTTCTTTAACTCAAAGAAAATGGTACATATGATTAAGGAAATAATTTAATAAATATAATTGAACAGTCTTTGTCATGCGTCACCGAGTTGACATTTCCCAGAACTTATGGACCACCTTTCTGGATATAAAGGCTTGTTGTTTTGTTTTATTGGCATGGTATGATTTATTTTCAGTTTATTTTAGATTTTAGTTTAAATTAAATTATTTTGATGTGTTTGGTTCAGTTTAATAATATAGATTATAATTTTTTGTAAGTTAAAAATCAACTTATTCTTTGAGTGGGAGAGAAGAAGCTTAATTTATAAGTCAAAAATCAGCTTATGTTTATAGTTATAAACTATAATCTGTTAAATTATAATTTATAATCACTTCCCCACAGTTCTACCAAATGGGTTAATTATAAAAATAAATTAATTAATTAAATGCCCTTATTTAAATTTTCGCTGATTGAGAGATTTAAAAAGGAAAAAGAAAAAGGTATATAAAATTATGTGAAATATACGTATATTTTATTCATATTTTACCTATTTTTTTTATTTTTTTTTTTAAATCTCTTAACCAAAGACAACATTAGAGACTATACAAATACATAGGAGGTGTTTGTTTGGGGGTTGGATTTGGTTGGTTTTAAGGGGAAAATTTCATTAATCAAATTATCTTTGTATATTGAGAATTTTTTAACCTACTGCCAATTTATTTATTTTCAAACTCAGTCAGTTGATTAAATGTTTTGACAGATTAAAACCAACAATTTGAGCGGGTTGGCAAGTTAGAAATACAAAATGAAAAAAAATATCGATGACCATTTAAATTTTTTTATAACAATTTTAAACAAAAAATTGATTATTTTCTGACACAAAATTTATAAATTAATTGAATGCATGACATTATTCAAAACATTAAATTACACACACCTCTATTGAGATTTGAAAAAAAATATAATTAATCCCATACTTTTAAGCTAAAGAGTAATGCTAGAGACCCCAAATATTCTACCAAAAGTTTTACCAAATGTCTCACATGGGTGTAGGACCCACACAATATGGGTCACATGTGGGTCCCACACTCATGTGAGACATTTGGTAAAATTTTTGGTAGAATTTTTAGCACTTCTAACATTTTTGTAAGCTAAGAGTAATGCTAGAGACCCCAAATATTCTACCAAAAGTTTTACCAAATGTCTCACATGGGTGTAGGACCCACACAATATGGGTCCCATGTGGGTCCCACACTCATATGAGACATTTGGTAAAATTTTTGGTAGAATTTTTAGCACCTCTAACATTTTTGTAAGCTAAGAGTAATGCTAGAGACCCCAAATATTCTACCAAAAGTTTTACCAAATGTCTCACATGGGTGTAGGACCCACACAATATGGGTCCCATGTGGGTCCCACACTCATGTGAGACCTTTGGTAAAATTTTTGGTAGAATTTTTAGCACCTTTAACATTTTTGTAAGCTAA